GGTGTAGTTTTCGTTTTATGGCAGAAAATTGGGTTTTCCATGCATAATCTATACAAAATCTGTCAATTTTGCACAACCTATAGCGTGAAAATAAGCCCTGTGACCCATTCTTTTTATTATTTTTTTTTAAAAAGCATGATATAAACTACATTTTGGCAAATTATTAAAAAATTCTATGGATTATAATTAAGACACCCCATCTACCTTAATGCTCATCGTTGATCATTTAATAGGAAATGTATTAAAGAAAACTAATTCAGTATCAAAATAGTTGCATACATGTACTAATTAAAATAATATCCAAAAAAATATATTTGATTGAAAAAAAATAGTACTAACAAGTAATAGTAAGTTTCAATAAAAAATAAATGGGGAATGTGTCCATGGGACACAGATGATGCCCCCGCTTGCATATAAGGTTTAGTTGAGGCAAACTAAAGTTAGAGAACAAAAACAAAAAATTCAGCAATTTTCACATTTGTAAAGGGGCATAACTCTAGAACGGTAAAAGTGACGCTACCAAAATTTGTACTTGATCTGAGTTTTGTGGTAATATGCATTGTGTATATGTTTCATAACATTTGGTTGAGGCAAACTTAAGCTAGAGAACGGAAACGAAAAATTCAGCAATTTTCCATTTGTAAAGGGGCATAACTCTAGAACGGTAAAAGTGATGCCACCAAAATTGAATCTTGATCTGTGTTTTGTGGTATTAAGCATTGTGCATAAGATTCATAACATTTGGTTGAGGCAAGCTTAAGTTAGAAAACGGAAACGAAAAATTCAGCAATTTCTCCATTTGTAAAGGGGCATTACTCTAGAAAAGTAAAAGTGATGCCACCTAAATTCAAACTTGATCTGTGTTTTGCGGTAATAAGCATTGTGTATAAGTTTCCTGACATTTGGTTGAGGCAAACTAAAGTTAGAGACTGGAAACTAATCTTGGGACATATGGACAGACGGAAAAGGGTAAAACTTAATGCCCCCTCCGCTACGGCAGGGGCATAAGAATAATAGATTTTTTTTGAAAGTTCACCATTAAATTCTTTTTTTTTCCCATTAACAGTCCATTTCTCACAGGTCATATGTACATGTATAATAAGTGGGTAAAACTTATTGATCCTCAGAAAGCACTTATTTTAAAGAAAGCACATTGTTTGGAAAAACCATGAAATAATCATTTTTTTCAAATGATCATCTTTTTCCTGAGATCGTTTGTGTTTTCTCTCCCTTTCCTACATTTAAACTGTATTCAATGCACATGTAATAACTAAGAATTGTTTTTAAAAAAAAGAGGCGGAAAATACCCAAGAGGGAATCATAACTCATAAGTGAAAGAGAGACAGAGGATGATACAAAAAAACAAAAGCTACAAAAATGTATTGTTCAATATTCTTATCATGTTCTAAAATAAACTTATATGTAATCTTTATTTCTTCTTTTTGTTGAATTAGCATATGAACAAATATATAAGAGTGGTAGGCAGCATTTCCTTCTTTATCTCCGTTCTAAATATATTTTAACACTATTTTGGGAGGAGGCATGTTGTCACGTTTTCCTTTTTTCTTTTAATTTGTCACTGTTATATGTACATGTTCATGTTTGTATTTTTTGTGCATGTCATATTTTTTCTTTTCAAAATACATTCTTATGTTTGGATTTTAAACTTATAAATTTCTTCTTGTTTTCAAATGACATGGTCATCTGTCTCACATTGAGGTCAGATAGGATTACTGTTCTCTATTATGTAAACATAATTTTTAATGTATTCATACAATTAATTATATTTAATATCAACACAATTAAAAGTTTTCAAATAGGTTGCAAGCTGTTATTTTCATGCAACTTGTTTGCAATTTTTTTTACAAGCTTTCCTTCTTGAAGCTCATTAATTTATTATTCACTGTATTTTTTATTCTTCCTTCATTACCATCAAATGAGCATTTATTTCATGTTTGTAAATGCACATACCCTTGATTTTTATGAACTTAAATGAAGACGATATGTAAAGTATGTTGACAGCAGAGAACAAATTTTGCACTAAAAGTTAAGAAATGATAACAAATAAGGAGAACACAAATATAATATTGCAATGAAGCTACATGTACAGTACACAGTGATTATATAATTATTAATGTCTTGTGAAATATTTTGCTTCTTTTTTCGGACCCAAATCTTTCACTTAAAAAATCTGTAAACCAAAAAATTTAAAACCTGGCCTTAGAAGTGGAATCAGAATAATTTGTCCTTGCCAGATATTTAAATTAAATATTATCAAGTGTTTTATTATACATGTATGTCATGTATGTCTTTTATATAGACATCATTTATACAAGATTAAAGTAATGTTCAAAACCATATTGTATTTGTTATATTTACCATTCTGATCTTAAAATTTGACACATATGCATAATATACAATAATGTACATGTAGACATATAATCATGATAATAGACAATGAAATTAAGGAAAACAAACCTGCTCCTTTTGTCATTTCAATTTTTTTCCACCAATAAATTGACACATTATTGTATATCCCTTACACAAACTATCTGATCAAATTTTCATACATCTTACAACTATATTCACCCACACACTTACTTTAAATGACAGTCCTTTATAATTAATTATAATCAATATATTTTATCAATAAAATTGGTTAAACAGTATATGGTTTATCAAATTATTTGTAAACTTTAAAAATATACACATTTCATACAAAAATTAACACATTATAACCATGTTTAAAAATAAAGTTATTTAAGAGAAATTTGTAAAAACTCTAAAAACATATGTTGTTTACAATCGTGTCTGTGCTCGAGGGTAGTCCTTTTACCAGCAGCATGACATACCCAATTGCTACTTAGCAATAAAAAGTTTCAATATATTCATGGATTGTATCATAATGTAACACAACAAAGTTGTGCAAAGTGTTTTGCAACATGCATTATATTACTTTGAATTAATATTTTTTAGGTCTACGTGTCAGCATATTGCATTTTTGCACTTAAAATCTGCAGAAGACTTCTGCGGAAAGCGGGAATTGCGACGGAAGACACAGTCTCAGCTGGAATAATATTTCAACTGAAAGTTGAGAGTGTTACAGGGTAAAATTCGTTGAATGTCATATTAATTTGACGATTATTAGGGATGAGGATCATTACCTGCTCATCTATAGCGCCATTTTGAATATGATTTTAGGATGTGCTGCTGTGCATTGTGGGAATGTTCATTTGACATTTATCCGGAACACGTTATACTTTATCGTAAATTTCAAGGTAAAAGTTGAAGTAAATAACATTGCGAACGGAACATGCGGTCTTGTTTACAGTAAACAAACTGACAAAACCACATGCAGAAATGTTATTAATAACTTCACAGTGTTTTGACGTATACAATAAAAAAAATTGTCACGAAGGTTAGGATATGTGCGCATAGACTTGATTTTTATGAGACTCAAGATTAAGAAATATTTGGTTAAGTTGAATGAGACACTCATTCTCAGTGTGTGTGTTACCGTCTTGACTCTTGATAGGTAACAAAAGATGCTGAATGAAAAGGGGATTTCGAATTAAACGACGTGGAAATTTAGGTCTGTTCTAATTTTAAATATCTGGGTTTTTAAATCCATTTTTTTTTTAAATTAGTTTATCAACCAAAATGTTATTTTTGATATTGACTTAATTTTGTCAAGGATTTGATTTTGTATAGTTATATGTTGAACTAGTTGTATGCGTGTATGGATGGCGTCTATATATATATATGAAAAATAGAGAATGAATGGCCAAAAAGTACAGATTAAAGGGGGAAAATAAGGAATAAAGAAATGTTAATATATAAAGAACAGAGAGAATTTGATTTCATTATCCTTTTTGATTTTTTTGTCACAAACCTTTTTACAGTTTTTAATGCCAATACAAGATTGAATCAAATTGAATAAATGTTTGCAAGGATCTCATGATACAAATAGTCCTTGATGTTTGTAATAAGGTTTTACTATTCAGTTTCGGAGCCTATTGTAACTTAAAAACTCATAAAGACACCAGGCTTATAATTAGCATGTTACGCCATTCAGACGCACGTTTCGTCTACATAGAGACTCATCAGTGGCACCCGAATCAAAATAGTTGGAAGGAAAGCTACGAAATTGCCGAACATTAAAATCCTAGAATTGCAAAAAGTTCCGAAGGTACGGCTAATATGAAAATTAGCCTGGCATCCTGACCCAATCTAATACTTCGTCGATATTAACAATTAAAAAAAAAGTCTAAGACTAAAATATCAATCAGTAAACATCCAACTTCCAATGGATTTAGTGCAAAGACGTCATAAACAGTCAGAGAAAAATATGACCTATATATCTGTCACATCATGAAGGTTTTATCATAATTAAATACTATCTATGAATTGGGAATAGAAACACCTTGTTGTGCCGAACAATCTGGGACTAATATATTCCAAGGAATAATTCAACATTTCAAAAACCGTAAATTTACAGCAAATTAATATACCAATGACATTTATGTCATTTATATAAAGATGTTTTGAAAGTGTTAAAATTCGCCAGATACAAATCAACTATGGAGCATATATCTTTTACGAAAAAAAATGTTTATGCTTTAAATCTTGATTTTTGTTTCAATTTAAAACAAACGTATTAAAATCTATACTAGGAATTTAAAGGAATATCATGGGGCAATTAATTTACTGCAAAGTCATTTAAAGACTGAGAAACACAGACGGGAGTGTGGTGGGGTCGGGGAGGGGGATTCGACTGAGGTGAATTCAGGTACCCCTTTGGAGAAAGCAACTCAACTACTGGCGTGGTTGGACTGCTAGAATCTGACAAATAAAATCCGGTGATAAGTCACAATTGATGATATCACAAATGAGGAAAGGAGGACGGGCACGTGGTTAAAACAAATTATACTTTTACATATCCGTGGCATCTGTCACATATTGAAGTAATATAATACTTCCATTGTCACAAAAATATAACATACACATCCGATTGTAAACAAAACAAGATTCCGTCCGTAAAACTTTCGAAGAGATTAGTTCAACTTTATCATTCAAACACTTCGTATCGTATCAACTGGTAAATATAATTATTTTCTTGCTGAAATTTTGCTACACAAATATGGAAAGTTCAATACCAAGTCAGGAATATGACAGTTGTTTTCCATTAGTTTGATGTGATTGAGCTTTTGATTTTGCTATTTGATAAAAGACTCTGTTTTGAATTTTCCTTGGAGTTCGGTATTTTTAGGTCATTTGTCGTAAAGTTCAATTTTCAATCGAACACCTTCCTCATTATGAAAAATAACGATTGAAGACCGTAGTCTAGTATCCTTTATTTCATGCTCAATGGGATATATGCTATCAGCAAGTTCAATGTGATAGATGCTATCGAAAATTTCAATCTGCAAGATCAATGGGATAGATGCTATCGGCAGGTTCAATGGAATAGATGCTGTCGATAAGTTCATAGATGCTATCGGCAAGTTCAATGGGCTATATGCTATTGGCAAGTTCAATGAAATAGATGCTATCGACAAGTTCATAGATGCTATCGGCAAGTTCAATTGGATAGATGTTATCGACAAGTTCAATGGGATAGATGATATCGACAACTTCCTAGATGCTATCCATTCGGCAAGTTCAATTGGATAGATGCTATCGATAAGTTCAATGGGAAAGATGTTATCGACAAGTTCAATGGAATGAATGTTATCGACTAGCTCATAGATGGTACCCGCAAGTTTAATGGAAAAGAGGCTATCGACAAGTTTAATTGGATAGATGCTATCGACAAGTTCAATGGAAGAGGGACGAAAGATACCAGAAGGACATTCAAACTCATAGATCGAAAACAAACTGACAACGCCATGGCCAAAAATAAAAAGACAAACAGACAAATAATAGTACATACTTTATGATAGAATAGATGCTATTCAAGTTCATTGATACCAATACCCAAAATTCAATCGGATAAATGGATAGTATCCAAACTTTGAATTTGTAAGTAAAAAAACAACATCCAAATAGCAGAACATTCCCTATCTCAAACGAAAATAAAAATAAGTCGGCGAGAGACATAGTTCTAAAAAAAACCTAAGCTCAGAATGAGGAATACTTGTGAATATTTCTTTTTACAGTTTAATCTTTTTTATAACGTTGAACGAAGAGGTGAACCTTGATTGTATTTCCTTTTGACAGATTCTTTTATTTTTTAGTATCCACAGCAGATTCACGATGTCCCTTGATTAACCCTGAAACAAGATTTGAATTGCTGGTATTGATGTTAGTGACTTTGAAAGAAGAATTGTTGAGCTTTTGACTTTGGAAAAGATTGTGCAGAGAAAATTGCGTTTCCGTCCTTTTATTTCGCCCATCGGCCGTCTTAAGTGGTTGAGTCTCCATAAGTGATCATAAGTAGCAACTTCTACTGTCTATTGTGAAATTTCAAGAGCACGATAAGTTCTCATTTTTCCAGCAGTTGAACTGAATGCATTAGGACTGATCGACAGTATTGAAGATGTCCTGCAAAACTTTGATGAATCCAAGTGTACTAAACACTGTTGGTTTACCCGTTTTTGCTCTTTTGTCCGAGATGGTAATAAATGTGAATTTTCCGTCGTTATCTAACGATTCATACAGATGCCGATAAATATCAATACCATGCTTTATGAAAACTTTTAGTTTGGTTCAAACTTGCATCAAACCTTATTGACAGTTGCAGTTAGTTTAAAACAAAACTTTATACAACAAAAAGAGATGACTTCAATTTTTCCATTGTGAAATTTCCATTTATAAGTACCAACAACCTGGATTTCTCAAAGTTAATATGATATTACAGAGTTTCATATAACAGTTTCCTTGATTGCTGGTCGCTGATTACAAGAAGCTACTGAACCAATGCTATTTAATGTGGATCATTGGTATATATTTCCTCAAATAACATTTTCTTATACTCTGCCATAATTAAGATTTTTCCATGCTTTTTTTAAAAACGTTATAAAAAGCGTGGGTCACTCGCCGCCGTGCTATTTTTCAAGCTACAAATCGTGCAAAATTGCCCAAATTTGCATAGATTGTTCATGAAAAAACAGTTTTTTGTGTATAAAAAGAAATCTATGAGATAAAATTTTAGAATATAAAATATGAGAAAATAGGTTTTAAAATATGCTTTTAAGAATAAAAAAAAAATTGGTGTCACTGACCTTGTTTTCTTGCTACACGTAAAAATTGAAAATTTCTCTATCATTCCTAAGTTTATAAAAATTTTACACTTTGAGTTATCTCCCCTCAAATGGCTAAGTTGACAATTTGATTCGAACAAACACAGACATTTGGTAATTGATAAATCAGTCTGAATAATGCAACAAATCACTTATTTGTCTTTATTCCAATAAACAGCTTAACCCATGAATTGCCAACCTGTCTCAAAATTTTCCATTTTAAGCAAATAACTAGTATTGAGAACTACTATTTTACAATCCAAGATGGCAGTATACAGTTAATCTTCCTTAATTTTATATAAAATGAAAGTTGTTATGTCTTGGTAAGAGTCAACAAACAAAAAGATCATACCAAAACCAAAATGGCGGCCGTCCTTTTCAACTTTTCTTGCATTTTGTCAACAAAATATATAAACGATCACCAAACGCCTTGGTCTTTAAAAACCACCAAGAGTCTTGGTAAGTTTTACAAACGACATAATGAATAGACTGGCCGTTACAGAGCTATATGTTTCAAAGATAGCACGGATATTTTCCGTTTGTGGTAGTCATGTACAATCTTGTCCTCTTTTCTGCCTTTATAACTTATCACCGAATGCGACTTATCGCCTTTTTTTTTTACTTATCATGAGGAACACTATGTATGTACATGGGGTGCACTAGTGGAGCAGGAAAAGTATGTTCTTTCAAAGCCGAGCTAACCCTAACTTGGGCCAACCTTAACAAACAAATACTTGGTGTCGATGTGATTTTTACGTGTGTTTTCACGAAGTCAAATATATTTTTGTTTGCGTGCGTATACAGCTCTTTCCTCACCGAGAAGGAAAAGCTCATATATTTCATAGAAAGAACGAATCAAATTTATCAATTTGAAATTAACGAAATGTTGTCATTTTCCTAAAAAAAAATGTGTCAGGGATAAAGATGTCATAAATTATTATTGGTCAAACTTTGACCAACATTATTACAAATAAAGAGATATATATTGGAATATCATTCCATCTGCAGAAATAATATTAAAACTGTGCTCTGTAAGGAAATGTTGAATTATTTAAAAAAAAAAGCAGAATCTTATACAGTTTTGGTTTAAGAACAAACGTGTATATTAAGTTTCTTTAAAAATTTTAGCCCCCCCCCCCCCCCACCCCTCCCCCCCAAAAAAAAGAAAGAAGAAATGTGAAATACCATGATCTCAAAACTTTATACATGGACCATTATATGGTGTATTAATCCCTGCAAAGTATCGTAAAAAAAAATGCCGGAAATTGTTTCATTAAGAAGTAAATATTTTCGATACATTTCTTGGTCTGAATGAAAACATTTTGAATCCCATAATGTTTACTTTATACAGCCTGTATATCTCTAAGGCCTCCAGTTATTCTCTTTGTTCCTGGTTTGACGACAATAGTTTGTTTTGGATTTTATTTCCCTTATTATTCGTTGTACGGTTTTCTAGAAAAGCAAACTATTCTAATGGTCCTAAAACTAACACTTTATATTGAAATAAGTAAATTATGTTGAAAAATATTATTTGTGGTTTAGTCAAGAGTGACTGAAGCCGGTGAAAATATGCTATCGACATTTCCCTGATATACGGCTCATTGGACAGAGGATTTCCTCGATATAGCGCTCATTGGAGAGAGGAGCTAGTGCTGCTTTCTGGGAAATGTATATTTTATTGAAATTAAATGTTCTGCAAATACGTGAATTAATTTCCTGTTTCATTTTTTGTTTTAATTAAAATCTACTTTTACAGAGAAAGCACTATAAAAATATTTGTAGCATGGACTTATAACACAACTAGTTTTTCGTGATATATTTAGAATTGAAGTGAGTTATGCCACTTTGTATACAACAAGTTCAAGTAAGTTATCATCACTTTCTTCCCTCATAAACTGGCTTCTATGATCATGTTAAAAACCTTTTCAACTATTGTTAAATTACAAGTATAAAGATGTCTTCCCTCATAAACTGGCTCCTATATGATCACGTTAAAAACTCTTTTAACTATTGTTAAATTACAAGTATAAATATTTCTTCCTTCATAAACTGGCTCCAATATGAACATGCCAAAAACCCTTTTAACTATTGTTAAGTACTAACCAAAGTTAAAACTTTCTTCTTAAATTGTGTATATTATTTGTAAACAAATGGATATGATACAAATAAGCATAACAAAACGGGGACTTTAAAAAGTAGAATAATTAAAGGCCAAATTTTCCCAAAGAAAACCACCGTTATAACACCGACAACCCTTATGGTCTTTTAGAGTATGTGTTTTTTTCTGAAAAAGACCAGATTATAACTTAAGTATTGTAAAAATGGACAAAACATTGATGCATCGGAAATAAACACATTTGTTCTAAGACCAGTTGTTGGCATGATACGGGTTATGTTCTTATATCGTATATTTTATGATGGTATAATATTAAACCCCTAACGGGAGGGATTGTGATTGATTTTCATATGACGAAGACATAACCTTTCAATCAGTTTAAATGAGGTCTGGAGCTGGCATGTCAGCAACTGCTGTAGTAGTCCTTTGTTAATGTATGTTGATTATTGTCATGTTGCTTAGTTTCTTCTGTTACTATTCTAACAACGGACTCGGACGTCTTTTAAACTAGATTTTACTATGCGTATTGCAGTGTGTTTGTTTATTCCACATTGGCTAGAGGTATACGGAAAGGTTTAAGATCTCACAAAACATGTTTAACCTCGCCGCATTTTTGCGCTTGTCCCAAGTCAGGAACCTCTGGCCTTTGTTAGTCTTGTATGTTTTTTTTTTTATTTTGATTCATTTATATGTTTCGGAGTTAAGTGTGACGTCCATTTTCTCTGAACTAGTATACATAATTGTTTAAGGGCCAGCTGAAGCCCACCTCAGGGTGCGGGATTTTCTCGCTGTGTTGTAGACCCATTGGTGGCCTTGAGCTGTTTTCTACTCTTTGGTCGGGTTGTTGTCTCTTTGACGCCTTCCCCGTTTCCATTCTAAATTAGATGATCGGGAATTTTGCTTTTTGATATACTGAAATCCCATTAGCTTTAGTAAACTTTTTTTTCTTGATATACTGAAATCACCTTAGCTTCAGTTAACCTTTTTTTTTGTAGAAAATATTTATTCAAAGTAATGAAATACCCTTTACATAACTTATTATATGTTGAAAGTTTCATGTAGCCACATTGACAAAATAATCGGTTTAAGACTTGCAATAGTTTTACACTCCAATTAAAGGTCCTCGGCAGGGATGGGTTTACAATGGTTAGTGCGACGATACAATTGAGTTGACTGTGTTACGTATATATTTAAGAGTATATACTTGACGTTACTTACAATTTCAAAGTTTGCTCTATATCTATTCCTTTCTTCTCAACTTTTCTTTTATCACGAATAAGTTTATCTGAAAAATATTGGGATTTGTGCATTTTATGGGAATTCCTATTGAAAATCGCTAATCAAATGCCTTGGACGTCTTTGATAGAATACTGTGACTTGTTGTATACAACTTTTTAAACGTCGTACCTTTTTATTATTTTTGTGAGAAGGACTGAGTTATCAACGAGATTTTTTTAAATGAAACCACCATTCACCGACAACTTCAGTTGTCCACTTTCTACATTATTTATGGCATTGAAATAAGCATTTAGCGATTCATAATTTTTTATATCTTTAAAAATTTCCCAATACTCTTTGCTCTCTGTTATTCCATTGAGTCATTATGTACCGAAATGCGAGTTAAATAACTATTTTTCCTACATGTCTTACATATTTAGTAACGCACTGACGTTGACTGCAAGTTACTGCATGACAGCTTTTGTCTTCTTTTTGTTATTTAAGTGCTGAGTGACTTCCTTTTAAGAACTATTAAAACGGGGTTTTCGGCTTTAGGAGAGGACTTCCCCCTAAATTAACCACAAAGGGAACGTACAACTATACTTCAGGGTAATTATTCACACTGCAACAGACAGTTCGTTTAGAAAATATCCATTATTTAATTTCTTTCAACAGCATTTTAGCATACTTTCGATGTATCTTTTTAGAACTTAGAAATAGAAATATGTGTGCCGTGTACAGCATTGTCTGAAAGTTCGAATATTACTTTGTATTTTCCCGGTTATTTTGGTTTTCTGGGGATTTCCTAATATAGTACCGACATTCTTATTTGTATTACGTAATAAGATTAAGATCAATGTCACATTTTTCTTTTGATCGAATTAAAGTGCATTTGTGTATTTCATTTACTGATTCGTTATAATCGCGACGGGGCTTGAGAAAAATAACCTATACAAATCCATTTCAAATAATTTTATATGGGACATAGTTATGTTTGTTATAATTATTCTATGAAAGGTAAATAACTTTGATTATGGATTAATGTATGTACCGTTGCCGTTTCGTTTCTACATAGTTGATGGGATATTTTCAAAATTAAGTCTTGCAATAAAACTGTCGTATGTTAATCCCTTTTTATTATTGTCTTCAGAAGCGACTTTTTTTCTTTTTAATTTATGCTATTTTATCGTGAAAGATTTCCTATGCGGAAAAGTTAAAAAATGTTATGCAATAGTGCACTCACCGCAAGGGTTCAATATATGATGTAAAATGACAGTTACTCGAAAATTATAATTATTTAAATCAAATTCTAAATTTAGTCCATGTCATCTGGTAATTTCCAAAAAGGATATCAAAAATAAGCTTAATTTCACTTTCTTATTTTGGAATCGGTTTTAAAAGCATTCATTGTTCTAAATATATGATTTAAGTTATAAATAATTAAACAATATCAATAGTAACGATCAATGGGAAATGATTGTTACGTCACAGCAACAAGGATAATTGCGTAATTCATGCTGTGCGCGTCGTTGTCTTCCGCTTGACGCACATAGTTTTGCATACTTTACATGTATTATATGTTAATAATTGTACCTTAATCCAATCAAACATGTTTTAGTATACATACCCATTATCAATTACCAT